AATAAATAAAACATTTAAAAAAATTAAAAAAAAAAAAAAAAGAAATAGAATTGGAAGGGCAGGATGGTCAGCCCTGGGCAAGGCTGGGTCTACTTGGTGCTAGTAGCTAGGTGTTGACATCAGAGAAAAAGAATCAGGAGAATATATTCTTGGGTCTATACCAAGAGCCAGCCCTTCTGCTAACTTCCCAGGTCTCCTGTATGTGGGTATACATGTTTGTTTCCATATCTGCATATGTATGTGGCATTTTCCAGCATGATCTCTGTCCCAATTACTCTATCCTATTTTGAATATGTGGATGAGAACATAGATCTAAATTTTTCATTTAGAAACTATCATCACTGTACAGAACATATATCTAAACTTTTCGCTTAGAAAATCTCATCACTGTGTAAATAGTCAACAATATTAGGTCCCCAGGTACTGTTCATTCGCTTACACATGGATCAACACTTACCTTCCGGAGAAATAGTCTCTTTCAAAATAAATAAATAAACCTGAGATTGGTTAGTTTTACTGTGGTGCCCCCTAGTGCCATACGAGATTTCATTCACTGTCTGTATTTGCCAATAAGTAGGCCACTCAAGAGAAGCGAAATTTGGAGAAGCAACACTTTTAGTAATTTCTCCTGTATTTTCTTTTGCATATTAGTGAATAAAGTGTGCTCCTTAGCACGAGTGACAAGACTCTTGTGATCTGCCCTCGCCAAAGTTTTCAGCCTCATCTGCCACTTTCCCCTAAAAACACTTCACTTCAGCCATTCTACACAAGGAAGTCTTCTGCCCCTGCCCAACCATCTCTCTTGTTCATTTAAAAAATTTCCCCTCTTTCTTCTAATATCAGCTGAATATTACCTGCTCCCCAAGCTTCTACTGGCTCTGAGTTTCTGGGATTTTTATCTCTAAATAGACAATGTCTAATGCCTGCTCAAAAATCCAAAGATTCTATATGTTTTTATCAGTACCTCCCCTAAAAACCTGAAAAATACTTAATGACAAATCAGTTCAATACTTCAGATATTTCTTTTTAATTCTCACAGAATTGTTTATGAAATGCAAACTCAGTTGTATCAGTAATCACTTATTTGCATGTCACTAAAAAAAAAAAGAATTTCTAAACACTTGTTAGATTGTATGGGGATGCATCTAAATTGAGCTAATCTGAGACAAGATTTTTTCAAGAAAAAACACCTCTTTTTCTTCCTAAATGATACAAATAAAAATTCCACGTTACACCCTGACATTTCATCAAGAAACCGTGAATTCAAAACCTGGGCATTGTTGGTACAGAAGAGGTCAACTCAGTTTCCAAGTACCTCAACTTCTGTTCTTCCCGGCAGTAAACGCAGTAAGAATGTAAACCTTTCACTGTGGGGTTTGCTGAAGAATTATCACTAAAAGAGGGGACCTGGGTGGCTCGGTCAGTTCAGTGTTGGACTCTTGATTTCAGCTCAGGTCAAGATCTCAGGGTGATAAGATCGAGCTCCGCATCAGACTCTGTTGAGCGTGGAGCCTCCTTAAGATGGTCTGTCTCCCTTTCTCTGCCCCTTCCCTGTTCAAGCATGCACTTACGCATGTATGAGCTCTCTCTCTCTGTCTCTCTCTGAAAACAAAATTATCACTAAAATCCCTCATCTATATAAAGTGCTATAGTAAGGGTGGTACAAATCTTGGAAGAGCCCTGGCCTCAAAAGCCCTGAGACACATGGATATACTGTACACAAACTCCATGCATGATCGGTCAGCTTTTTTCTGCCATTGTTCCCCGCTGAAACCACAGGTACAGTTGGGAGCCTGATATTTTAAATGGTAGTCCCAATACATATCTAATAATGTGTATTGGTTTTAGTGACAGAAACACTCAATTTTATAATTTGTATCATGAATATTCTTCTAAGTCATCCACTTCTTTCCCCTTTCTAAATAAGGCATTTAGCTAACCCATATTAGTTTATCTAGTATGTGCATAATATATGAATAAGTACAAATTACAAACATATGTGCAAATTTCATTTCCCCCAGTCCCTTCTTAAGAAGCATAAATCCAGTAGCTTAGACACAAAAATCTGTTTACTTAATATTTTATATTTCTCAAATCCTAATACCGATTCTACAAATATATGTATGAACTACATACTCACAGGATATTGAGCTGAAAGAGATCTTTCTGTTCATGTGATCCAACTGCTTTGTGTTAAAATGAGTAAATCAAGGCCCAAAGAGGGAAGTTACAGAAGGAGTGGGTAAGACCTATCTTTTTTTCTCGCATCTCAAAAACTCAAACTTCTGCTTTTCACATAAGTAAATAAAACTTAACAGAGTGGTGAGGGGGAAAAAGGTTATTAAATAAACTCTGTTGAAGAGAAAGTCCACTGTCAAATGAAGGTTAATAGCTATAACTGTATTTTTTATAGAGCTCTACAAGTAGGCAGTTATTTTATGAAGCTAAAAGTTATATCTAGGAAATGAAAAAAAAATCAAGATTATTCTCCAAATATGTTTTCCTACAATAAAAGAGATCCAGTTTAACTGGACAAATGATCAGCATTTCAGCTCAGTTTCACCCTTTAAACACATCACTGGAATATCATGTGGTTGCTTTTTGTTTTTTATTTTATTTTAGTGAGAGAGTGTGTGTGAGAGGGGGAGAGGGGCAGAGCAAGAGGAGAGGATCTTAAGCAGGCTCCATGCTGAGCATGGAGCCCAGTACGAGGCTTGATCCCATGACCCTGGGATCATGACCTGAGCCTAAATCAAGAGTTGGACACTCAGCTGACTGAGTCACTCAGGCGTGTCTGGAATATCATGTTTTATAAAAGTAGGGGTTTGATTTACATCACCACAGACCTCATCATTTGACTGATAACAGTCCTATTAATGAGTTTAGGAAGGCTACCAGTCTATGTCCCTTTTTCAAGAGCTACTCTACACCCTTCTCTCCTTTCTCCTCTCTCTCATGCACACTCACACACTCACTGCCACCACAACCATTTGATCAAATTCCAGGGAGAATACACCTGACCCATCTATGCTATCCTTCCCTCTAATAGACTAAATGAGATTAAACATAAGGACCCATTACGCTGCCTTTGGTCCTACAACAGTACAAAAAATTATGTTAGCTAAGACAGTCTAGCTAAGAGATAAGGAAAAAGAAAAATAAAGGTAATGTCAAGTGAAGAATTCCAAATATCTGTGCCAAAAAAATTCTGTATCCTAAGTATATGAGAGTACATTTCTTGAGAAAACAGCTCTAACATACCTCCTATGTCTTTGCTTCCATTTCTGTGCCAGGACCAGAGAAAGCTAATTCTCTCCCAACGATCAGCTCACTGTGAATTCTAGCATCCGGGAAACCCGCGCTGAGCTTTCCTTTCAAGCTCTGTCCACAGAGTCACTGGGTGACTTGCCAGAAAGGACCCTTCTTCTCAGCATCTCCTGGGTATCGACAGTCCAGGGCGGCCCCACCACCAGCTGGCTCTAGATCTGTTTCACCTTTTCTTCTCTCCTGCTCAGAGCCCTGGTACAATTGTTCAGCCTTGACTGGGGCCATCTGTCTTGTCTTTTTATCATCCCACAGTGTAAGGAAATATGTAACACTGTGGTTGTTTGAAACGCATTCTCAGGGCTCCCAGACCTGATGAATGCACTCAGCTGTTCTATTTTTGGTCATTCTCTTTGTTTTCTTCTCAGAAAAGCCTAATTCCGGTCTGTGTCTTAGGCATCCTGCCATGGACACATTGCTCCTCCCCCAGGCCTCCCCTCTAATCGCCTACTCTAATTTCACCCAAGGGGCTCTGCACTGAAAAGGAAATGTGTGGCAGGATGAAGAGAGGACTGGCCCCTTCTACTCACTGGTCTGCAGACCCGACAGGACACCGGCTACGCTTCTGGAATTTAGGAACATGAGCCCTCTCTGCGGTACAGTGATCACAACCGCACTCCCACCGGCCTCTGTGCACCAAAACCCCCTACTTCCTGTAGACAAAGACAAGCCGAGGCATTGGCTAGGACTCTGCTTATCTTATCCTGGTCTAATTTTAAGGTACCCAGGCTCTGACATGGCTATCAGAAATGAAGGTTCCTACTATTTCACCTTTCCCAGGGAAAGACTTTTCTAACCTAAAGCAACCTGCCAAGAAAACAAGAATGGTCAGACTGGCCCCAGCAAGGGTCCATGGGATGACTATACATTTATTTCCTTTTCAGTGGAATCTCCTGAAATCAAAAGCATCCTTAAAAACCTGATAATGTTTGTAGATATGAACAAGTACACTTTAAAAATAATGGAAAAGGGACCAGAACAAAGAGAAGGAAAAAAGGAAAGAATATCTTCACTAAGCGGGGGAAATACTTAGAAAGATGATCATTGCATTGCACAAAGAAGGAAAAAGACAAAGTGAGGTCTGTAGGTTGTGACTGGCAGAGAATGGCTGAAAAACAATCTCTGACTAAGTTGTTGGGGTCAATGTTTGGCCATGTATGCATCTGCACATGAACATGGACATCTCTGCCCTTAAAATACACAGGTTAGCTATTTAAAGGAACTTAATATTGGTACCTTCAGCGTTCTTCAAAAAGCAAATCGCCTATGGGATTTATGAACACAGCGGAAAGGTGGAACTGATCCCTTTCTTATTTCCTTTTCATATTAGTCCCCTGATCAGATGCTTACTGGCAGAATGGGTTTGACTCCATGCTTCAAAGTGACAGCTCACAAAGGAATGCCAGGATTCTTCCACTGGGAAAAAAAGAAGAATCCAGAAGCAGCACCCTTGCCCTACTTCCACGGCGCCCCACCACTGCCACCACTGAAAAAAAAAAGGAAGGAAAAGAAAGACAGGAGAGTGTTTGACCACACTTTACAATCACTGAGGGACAGGTTGGGGGGCCATCAAAAATTTTGACATCAGACTATTTCCAAATGACTGTTCTTGGCTGCTAGGCTACCATCCATCAGCACAAGCTGGAGGGAACAAAGGGCCCAATGGAGCATCTTACCTGGGAGGCATAGAAGTGCAGGCAGATGTAGGTGAAACACAGGAGCAAACCCAGACCCTGGATTACAGCCGCCACCAGCAGTAACTTATTGCTCTGGAATCTTCGCCCTGCTGCATTTCCCACATTCTCATCCAGGGGTTGGACCCCTTCCATCTTCATAGTCTGGATGCAAGGAAGATGAAAAGTGTAGCAATGGGGAGACTGAGGGAGGACTGACCTCTTCTCCACAAAGAAGGAGGGGAAGGGAAAACAAAGCTTATCAATCAGAAAATACACGAAGGTCCTGGGACCAGAGATAAGAGGCAATTGAAAGAGCAGAGCGCACTCTCTCAGTTTTAACACTGCAGCTTCTGCAGGCAGGCGGGGGAACTTCTTTGTGACTAATCTGAATTTCCCCTTTACTTTCTTTCTTTTTTTTTCTCCGGGCTAACAGGGAGTTGTTTTTGTGGCATTCCAGTTCTGATTTGAGTGACTGCGAAATGACAGTCATAAAAGTGTGCTAATTTCTTAATTTCTCATTGCACCAGTAACCAAATTGTGGGTCACTTGATAGAGATAAAAATCATCATCCGTTGATGGAGGAGTTCCTCTATTCCCTCCCTGAGAAGTCAGAAATCACAGAAGAGATTTAAGGAAAATGCTGGACTTAATTTCTCATCTGCACTTTATTAGGTAACTAAGCTTTGAACCATCGTGCAAATATATATATAAATATATATACAAAATATATATATAAATATATATACACAAATATATAATGTAATATATATATAAATATATATACACATATACACACACAATATTTTAAAATAATTATATATTTATATAATATATATTATATATATATATTTAAAAAGCACTCACAGACCAGTCTTTAAGTGAAAGAGAGAAAAGAGAAAACAGGATGGTGGATCATGGAACAATAAAGAAGTGAGATCCTCTAATTTTAGTACATTATATTATCATAAATAAACTAGTATATATCGAGCACTCATTATTGTCAGACACTGTGCTAGACAGCCTTACAGTCTTTTTCTCACTGGATCCCCTGAGGCAAAGATAGTAAATGCTGATATGATTAATTTTAAGTATAACAGAAAAGAAGCAGAAGAGTACCCTTTTTCCTCTTCCTTCTACTTCTCATTTCCCCCTACATAATTTGTGCATGAATGAAGAAATTCATAGATTCAAATAAGAATCTTTGAAGATTGTTCCTTCCTTTGAGGTCAGGGGTGGGACTCATAACTTGGAAAGTAAGAGTATTCTACCAATAGACGGGCACTACTTACCCTTTAGCACTGAGGTAAATGATGAAATAAATCATGTAATGATTTAGAATGTCAAGTCCAAATTAACAAATATTTGCTGAGTACTTAGCCAGTGCTGTACTGGAGGACATGGGCATGCAGGGGAGGGGATGTTTAAGGCACAATTCTGTCTCTTCTCTGAGCAAGTAGTTCTCTCTAATCTCCCCATGAGTCATTCAACACCTATTTAAAGAAAGAAGGGAGGAGAAATATTTTTATATCAACAATATGAGAAGCCATATCAACTTAATTTTAGAGAAAGTGGACATGAGGAAAGTGGAAAATACATTTGCTGTTACAGCATTAATTGAGGAAAGTACGGATTAATATCCTCATTATGATCATTATGCCTTACATTTGGAGAACATTTTGGTCTTCAGAAATTCAAGATTTTGTCTGAAGATAAGGGAGCAGACACTGTAGCATAGGTTCCAAGCCAAAATTAGAAAGCAAGTTCCTCTGAAACTTTCTATGAGCAAAGTATGTATTACATACAGGGTATGGAGGGAGAAAAAAAATGAAAGAAATAATCATGTGTAGACCCCAATTCTTGTGTAATAGTTAATAGCCATAAGTAAACATTAAACTCAGTAACTATTTACTCATTTATTTTCAAAGCCTGACTAAAAGAATCAAAGGAGAAAAGCTTAAAATACTGTCAGAAACTATAGAGACTAGCTGACCAAGATTGCATGAAAACTATTAATGCTGAAATCACAGAAAATGTTTTTAAATAACTATCAAAAATCATGGAAAAAATGAACATTTAGAGTATGTACTTGCTCCCTGAGCCACATCTCTTCTCCCTGTTATGGCTTCTGTGAAGCAAAACTGCCATTGCTGGTTTTCATGAGAGAGGACTGTGCTATGGAATAAGTTTCTTTGTTTTTCTTTAATGTTTATTTATTTTTAAATTTTTTTTTCAGAGAGAGAGAGAGAGACAGACAGACAGACAGGGAGATACAGAATCTGAAAACAGGCTCCAGGCTCTGAGCTAGCTGTTAGCACAGAGCCCGACATGGGGGTCGAACCCACGAACCATGAGATCATGACCTGAGCCGAAGTGGGTCGCTTAACCGACTGAGCCACCCAGGCGCCCCAATGTTTTTTATTTTTGAGAGAGAGAGCTTGCGTGTGTGTGCGCGAATGGGAGAGGGGCAGAGAGAAGGGGAGACAAAAAGTCCAATGCAGGCTCCAGGCTCTGAGCTGTCAGCGCAGAGCCCTCCCGACCTGGGCTCGAACCCACGAACCATGAGATCATGACCTGAGCTGAAGTCGGATACTTAACTGACTGAGCCACGCAGGCGCCCCATAAGCGTCCATGTTTTGTGTTGTTCCAAGAGGGCACAGGGACAACTGTCACAGCCCCTCACCTCCCTGTGGCAGTCTCTCACTGCTGTATTTTGCCTTCTTGTAACTTTTTGTTGAAGTTTAAGTGATGGTGTACATTGAATCATTTCTTCTTTCACTGCCAACATTCTGACAGCCTTTTCACATTCTCTGTGGGAAGCAGAGGAATACACCTAGAAAAATAAATCTAACTTGCCCTGGAAGTTCCAGGCAAGACCCTTTGACAGACCACATAAGCATTTCAACGTTGGGCTGGGCTGGCATTTGGAACAAGTGAAACCACCGTCCAAGGTCTCACTGATGGCATTCTTCTTAAGCAGATGAACAAAGTCCTCCATCTTCCAGGTTGACATTTTCAATGGTGTCAGGTATGTTACCTGAATCTAGGGGCCATTTTGTAAAGCTTCTCACAGAGACACACACACAGACGCACCAGAACAAACCAACCTTGGAACAGAAGGCTTGGACTTCATTCCAAAGATTATCTTCCCATAGATCTTGACCTCTGAATGAATAACCATTTCAAGACTGGAAAATAAAAAGGCTTTGATAGCTGACAGTATACTTTATGTTTAGAAAGCAGCAAAACCTTTTTAAAAAAATTTTTTTTTGATTGGGGGGTATTTGTTTTGTGTTGTTCTGTTTTGTTTTGTTTTGTTTTGTTTTGTTTTGTTTCGTTAGTTGGCGGGGATGTTAAAATCTGGCTTTTCATTGGTTTCCAAGTCATGTGTCCATTCAGCAAGCATGAGCCATGTGCGTGCATGCTTGTGCAGGGGAAATGGCATGAACGAAACAGGTTCTTAACCCTCAAAGAGATCACAGGCAGGGAGCAGGATGATCACAGCCAAGAAAGGAAGAGCGGCAATAGCTGGGCAGGGAGTGAGGGCAACACAGCCCAGTGAAGCCCCTTGTGCCTCGCCTGTTTGGGAAATACAACTGGAGAAGGGAACTAGGAAGGACAGTGGCCCCAGGAAAGAGGCTGAGAAGCTGTCACACATGGCCTTTTGTTCTAAGTTAAAAACTTTGAACTTTATCCTGAAGACACGGGGGTAACAAGGAAAGGTTTGAAGCAGACTGTGATATGATTACATTTTAGAAAAATCTCTTTGGGTAAAGTAGAAATGGCAGGGTGGGATCAGGGGGGCCAGTTGGGGGACTTTTCCAGGACACGCTGTGCCTGCTGAGGAGGGGAGTGCGGTCTAAACCCACCTCTTCCCTGAGCTGTCCACATCCTCCTTCCTTGAGCAGGAGGCTTCTCCCTATAGGAAGGGCAGGCTTTATCCTCCCACAAAGGTTATGTGTGGCTTCCCAAGGCCTGAACAAAGAGCTTCACCCACCCAGATAAAATCCCCCTTTTTTAATTCATAAATTCAGAGAGAGCACTTTGTTCTAATTCACACAAAGTATGAGCTGGTGTGGGACCCTGGGCTTTCATTATTTAAGTGAGAAATAATAAGGTCCTATACTGAAGCAGGGAGAAGATATTTACAGTGGCTATTAATTCACCAAATGTTTTGGGGCTCTATTCTGTGCCAACCTCTGAACATATAAAAGAAATTATAACTAATCTCTGTCCTGGGATGGGTGACAGAGTAAGATAGTTGGTGATGGAAACAAATGCATTTCAAAAGTCAGAAGCCTGATTTGACATCTGCCTTCTCAACCTGCCCTTGATCCTAATGTACTCATTCCGGTTCAGCCCTCCAGAATTTCAAAGCCCCAGAATCAGCTTTACCTCTCCCTTTGGCCCCAATCGGTCAAGCTTTGTGGGGCTATCCCTGTAACACAGTTCATACTTTCTTCCACTTTGCCTTTCTTACTTCTCCTGAACTCCTGAATGAAACTTCAAGCTGTTCTTCCTACTTCCATTACCGTCAATCTCCAATCCATTCTGCTTTGGCAGGCTGTTTAAACCCAGTGATGACCAAAATCCTATCAAGGGCCTCCATCTCAAAGAGAATACAGCTTGCAGTTCATTAGCTTGACATTCAAAGCACCTTGTAATGGAATCCCAGTTTTCCTCTACAAACTTATCTTCCTCTGTTTCCTGATTTCTGATAGTCACTGTGCCTCAAATATCCCTACCCTCCATCTCTGACAATTGAAACCTTCACACTACATACACACTTTCCATGAAGGGCTGGCTGTCTTGTGAGGCAGTAAGCTTGCAGTGCTCCAGAAAGGTTAAACAAAAGCCCTGAGAGAATCCTCTTTCGGGAACACTAGTATTGAGTGGGGGGTGTTGTACAAAGAGTAGTTCCCAAAGCCTCGCTGATCGTCAGAATCACTAGCATAGTTTTTAAAAGATTCAGATTCCTGATCCCCTTACTCTAGAAATTCTGATTAGAGACGTTTGGAGTAGTGTCCTGTGAATCTGTATTCCTAAAACTTGCTAAGAGCCACATTTGTGACTTTCCCCAAATGAACACTTAGGATCTCTTTTGCTATTACATCCCTATGATGAGGAAATTTCCCTGGGCCTCCCAGAATGTAGGCCTTTCCACCCCTCTATTGAGAGCATTTATCATGGTCTGTCTTATCTTATAATGGTTTAAATTTATTTCAGTCTCTTCCATGATGTTGTGTGATTGTAAGGCTAAGAGTCTTATGATGTGCTCACTCTCAAGGGCCAAAACAAATAGTCTTTCTACAGAGAATGTACTAAATTAAATTGAATTCATTTGCAATAGATCTGAAGCATGCTATTTTCAAGACCAGAAAAGAATGAGAGTCTAAACAAAACTGAAAATGGCACTATTAAATACAGAAGTTCCTGATAGCTGGACTTGGGTCTTACATGTGAAAGATTAGCAAACCTGAAATGTGTACTTTT